GATACAAGATTAGCAACCAGACATTACATACGTACGCTAGTACCGGAAAACATCATATGCTTTATCATCGTCTATATGTTTAGCAGCGATGATAAAATAGCTTGTTTCAGCTTTCAATGTGAATGAATTAATATCAGAATTAGGGATAGCTCGACAACCTGTCGGTACTCTTTACAAGCTTTTATTTAACTTGACCTGTTTGTCTGTTACTACGTATGTGTGGGAAAAATCTTGGAACTGAGTTTTGAACCAGTTAACCTGTTAACCCTTAACCGGAAAGGTGCCGTCTGTGAGACTGCGGCGTTTCTATACCTGAGCGTATCTTTTTTATTGCACCTCTAACAGACGTAAAAACCCATCTAATCCATAAGCTATTAGTGACCATCGCCCACCCCCATTCACACGAGTCTAGCCAAAACGTGGCTTAAAATATGGACCAATTTTAGTTTGTTGCAGTCTGTCAGACGGCACGTTTCCGTTCCCGTTTGCTATTTGTGTTGCATAGGTGCGTTTGCGAGTATGGCGGGACCTTCTAAACGTGTACGATACGATGATCCGGAGTTCGAAGAAACCGTTCTAAAATGGTTTGAGGATGAAGGAAGTGACTTTAGTGATATAGACAGTGCCTCAGAAGACGAATACATGGAATCAGATCATACAAGTGATAGTGAGTTATCAGAAGACGGAGCCGAAGGAAATGAAGAGGATTTATCAGCTCAGAATTATTTCTATGGAAAAAATCGTCATAGGTGGAATATTTCGGAAGTTGTACCATCATCACGTACAAGGAAGCACAATATAGTCATTAAAGTACCAACTCTAAGAGGAAAAGCTCATGAATATGGAGAAGAAGCAGCTCCGTTGACGGTTTGGCAGCTTTTGTTCACTGACGACATGTTGGTACATATCGTTAAGTGGACCAATCTCAAGCTCAAAGAAATGCGAAAGAGATACAAAAATCAAACCAGCAACCTAAACGACACTGATTTAGTCGAAATAAAGGCACTATTGGGTCTCTTAGTATATACATCGGTGTTCAACAGCAACCACGAGAACATTGAAACACTTTTTGCCACCGATGGCTCTGGAAGAGATATATTCAGAACTGTCATGAACATAAAACGATTTGGTATTCTCCTGTCAGCCTTAAGGTTTCATAACCCAGATGACAGGAATGAAAGAAAGAAGCTAGATCCAGTAGCACCAATATCTTTCATTTTTAATTGTTTTATAAAGAACTGTCAAGATGTGTACGGAGTTGGCCAGTCTGTCACTGTCGATGAAATGCTCGTGAGTTTCAGAGGAAGATGTCGTAAAATGTATATGCCTGCGAAACCTTGCAAATATGGCATAAAAATTATGGCATTGACGGATGCAAGGAATAGCTACCTCTATAACGCATATATATACTGCGGTAAAGATTCCGATAGTTTCGAACTTCCTGAGGAACACAAGCGGTATTCCAAACCCACACAATCAGTTCTACGTCTCGCGAAGCCTCTGTTTGGAACTAATCGCAACATTACAGCGGACAACTGGTTTACGTCAATAGAATTAATGGATGTCCTATTGAAGAACAAACTGACCTATGTGGGTACAATGAAGAAAAATGAAAGAGAAATTCCTCCGGCATTTTTACCCAACAAATCAAGAGAAGTCGGATCAACAATGTACGGATTACGAGAAGATTCCACTATTGTGTCTCATGTAAGCAAAAAAATAAAGCCACAATACTCATATCTTCTATGCACCACAGAAAATATTGTGATCCGGAAACACAGAAACCGGAAATAATAGCCTATTACAATGCTAATAAAGGTGGAGTTGATTCTCTTGATGAAAAATGTTCGAAGAGTACCTCAAGTCGCCGTTCGCGTAGGTGGCCACTGGTTATTTTCTACCGACTATTGGATATATCGGTAGTGAACTCGTATATTTTACACCAGTGCTATAAGAAAAATGAATTGCAGAAGGAAAAATCGGTATTTGCTAAGATGTTGGCCGCTAACCTGGTCCGTGAGCATATGGAAAAGCGACTAGAGAGTCCCCGTTTACCTCGGGATTTGCGACTTACGATAAATCGCATCCTTGGCAAATGTGAACATCCAGCAACAGAAGCTGAAAATTTGGTTTTGGAAAAAAGGAAAGCCTGCTTTTTATGTCACCGAACGACCCATCGGATGACCAAATTTTTGTGTGTACAATGTAGGAAGCCTGTATGTCTTCAATGCTCCAAACCCAAATGTATTAGCTGCATAAATATAGGCAATGTTTGAGACTTGCAGTGAATTTTGATTGTGTTCTTTTTGTATTTATTGACTATAATATACTTTCCTTGTTCATTACTTAACTAGAAAATAGAAAAATGTTGAGACTTTTCCATAGTTTTAATTTAGTTTCTGAATGTTGCAACAACAGCGTTATTTTTGTATGGTTTTAGCATAGTTAATAAAAATATTTCTTTTATGTTCTTGTATCATTTTGAAATGAGCATTTTACGTATTAAACACATAAAATAAACATCCAGTATCAGTTTCAGCGAAGTTATTGCTTGCTTTTCGCCTTACTCTAATTTTTTGAACATCTTGAAGTTCGCAGTCTGAGAGACGGCATGTTTCCTTTTGTGTTCCAAAAATTCACGTTTCCTGTTAAGGGTTAATTATGCTGAATTTGTTTACACACCTTTGGTTTGCGTGGCAATTCAGAATCAATTCACTGCCGCCATTTTGAACCCATTATGGTGGATGCTACAAAATGCCGATTCATCATTTCCATAGTAAGCCTATATATGGGTATCAAATGGTAGGATTTGATGGGAGAAACACAATAAACAAAGTCACGTCATTCTAAATCCTATATTATGGGTGTCAAATGAAAGGGCTTGATGAGGGATACATAATCACTGAAATGACGTCATTCTGGACCCTATATGGTGGCTGCCGCTGAATGGTAATTAATAACTTCCGTATTCACCGCAATGATATGAGTATAAATTCGATATATGGAACACCGCAAAATATTGATTTATCAGTATGTGATTTATATCTTCCGAAATTTTATGTCACCTACGGGAATAAATAGACGGGAGCCAAGTAGGCGACATCTAGGGAAAGGACTACTATTGTCATAAAAATAAAAGATGGAAAGGGAAGGAAGAAAAAAAAAACGACAAGAAAGAAGAAAAATTTGCATAAAAGTCAATCCAGATTATCTGTTTATAACATGCTTGTTTGAGTCATCTAATTTAATTTTTATCACCTAAGTCTGCAAGTGTATACGCAGATATTTAAAGATCACTCAAAAGGTATGATGACCGGGAATAGAATAAAAAATTGTGTCATAACCTCATTCAAAAAAATAATTGTTCATTTATGTGGTCCAACCTGTTCTGCTACTGAAGAACGGTACTTTTTTCAGTTAAGTGGCTTTTTCACACATACAAGAACTCAATTTCTCTATTCTAAGCGGTTCTCTAATAGCTTATGCTACCGAGAAATAACGACCAAATAGTAATATGGTACCAGGGTCTTCACAGAGAATTTCAAGTCGAAGATCAGCTAAAGTGTTCAACTATTTGGTGCCACTACCTTATGTTTTATATGTGTATAGCTTCTTGTTATCGAAGTATACATCCTATTCGCAAGTCGTGCACTAAACGAACACCCTAATCGCTTCAGCGCCGGAAGAACTATCGTTTCTGCACCGTTGCTACCGAGACACGACGGGTACCACTCGACTGGGAGTAACGTGCACCGCACGAATCACAGATTTGACACGAACTATCACCGTTAACGTATCCCTGAACCTGAACACAACTACTACTGCACGGTATATGCTCATTAGCCTGGTCAACATAGAGTACTCTACTACGTGATATTCCTGTTCATTTATCTTATCTCTTCATTTACACCACCAACAGATCAACCAATTAATGATCGGAGAACCTAGGTTTCCGCAGTACAAAAAAATGTAACATTCAAGAACACACAATTACATAACAGATTTGCAGGGGACCTTGAATGAAAAAAAAAGTGTTGGACCCCAGATTGGTCTGCCTGTAGTAGCTCAGAGCCTCACAGCAACACAGAACATGCTGCGAGGACTCTTCCTCTTGACGCCTCATCGTCTTATGGCCAGACATCAGTCCCACCAACAACTTAAGGTTGCTTCTATCCAATGGCGTCCATCCCCTGACATGTCCAGGGATACTTTTCCATTTCGGAGAGTGTTGTCTAGCAATCCACCCCTAGGGCTGGCTCAGGACTAACAAGCTTGCCCGCTGATCCTGCTTTCGCAAGGGCGTCCGCCATATCATTACCCTAATAGGATCTTAATACAAGTAACATTGTATCGAATATATCAATTCTGTTATGTACATTGCTCATACATTCCAGCACATGGATTATAGAGGAGAATGCTGAAGTACTTTGGTCCTGGGGGTTGGTAAATAAAACGTTAAAATGTTTCTGGTGAGACACTTGGGTATATTAAATGACAAGCGACTGAGAATGTACGGACACAATCTTTCTGGTTGAGAATTATCTTGAACAAAACGATAAACGAGTGCATTTTTGTTCTGTGGTCTGAACTTAGCATATCATACACCTTTAATAATAACTCATCTTGCTGAATGAATACCTATTTCTGTATAAACACCATCTATCCTGTAGAACAGATATTTTAGAAACGTTTTACTTTTTCTAAGCTCTCTCTAGTTTTGAGATTACAAATGCATTCTGCAACATGAGTAGAGCTATAAAAATCATGAGAGTTGCGCAAAACTTTTATTTACAGAAATTGGAAGATTATTTACATGCGGGTTCAAGCTGAAAGTTGTGTCAAAGATGACCCGCAAATCTTTAAATTCTCTTACCTTTGGCAATGTTGTTTGATTAACCTCAACATTATATTCTATGGGGCGTTGTTTTTTAGAAAATATCCTGGTTCGCTTGGTTGTGTTCATGGATAGGTTATCATTATCACACCAAACTATTATTAACCGGAACAGTCTTGTCTACCACTTTGTGACCATTCAGATTGAAGATTCGTCGATATAGAATGAATATCTGATGCTGGATTTCATGCATGGATTCGATAATCGCTCTCATAGTGTATGGTTTTCTAACACTTATACAAATTGATTCCTGCAAATAATAATTCGATCCAAACTAACCAAATGACACGTCTATTCCTGATGCCGTTCATAAGTTCACACATCTGCAATTGTATAGTTCTATGAACAGTTTTATGCTAACTGTCACAAAAATGCTGTTTGTAATCACTCGTACGAGTGATTGTCATAGAATGCTTCTTATGAAGTTTTTTCGTACACTGGTGGGTGACTTATCTTGGACACGATCACTGACAGGGTGGCGACTGCTGTACGACGAGGACTATGAAAACGCTAAGTAAACTCTACGAGGTGTTGCTAGATTATTTTAACCTTTACTGGAAAATATCATTATTACACATATTTAAATAACAAACACTGATCAGCCCATTAGCTTTTTTATTTTTACTTCGTAGGCCTACTGGCGCTATTGTAATGGCGAGCATTTTCGAAAATGAGGTAAAATTTTTTTTTGGGTGTTATATACCATGCACATTACGAAAAACCATGAGTGTCTGTCTGCTAATTTTATAACCGACTATAACATGAGAAGTACCACTCGGATTTCGATGAAATTTCTACACAATGTTACTACTATGCCCAGGATGCAAAAGTTTTGCTTTAGTTTTTGAAAATCGTCCAGCTGCGGCAGAGAAAAAAGCCTAAAACGAAAAAATGAAAATTTGCTACGTCTTTTGAGGTTTTAGAGGAACCTTTTTAATTTTTTAAACAAATTTTAGGGGTAAAAAAAACTTCCTGATGTTAGTACGTTTATACGTAATGGTAATTCTACGATCTTTTTTACACCAAGGCAGCCGCGACTGTTATGAGGAGCTTAATATTGAAAAATACTCGGCAGACGTATCGCGTAACTACCGGCCACGGCTGGTCCTTCGGGCGCCGTGCCACCGATCTTGGTGACTGTTCTTTTGTTCTGGTATGGTATCACATATGGTTCTGCCGGCGACAGCATTGTTTTTCCTATGATCTGACCGCGCTGCTACGTCTGACCTAGTTAAGTATCGGGGAGAGACGACGTTTCCAGATGCACTACCTGTGGTAAATACAGGGAAAGTATGTCTGTGGACTACTTGTATGGACCTATTTGACTGACTTTTTTCTCAGAGGGCCTAGCTTGTTCTAAATGTAACCCTTTATGACCTGATAACGTATTCTGAATTCAATGTTTTTTGCTAATGCGAGTGACTCGCGGGAATGTGGGGAGTAAAATACAGGTTATGGGATCGACTCGATGTTTTCAGAAATGAGAAATTTTCCAGGAGTCACAAAAAATAAAAATTGCAATGATGAATAAAATGAATGTTCTTAGTCCTCCCAATAAAATCAAAATGGCATTTATATTTCAGTATATTTTGTCTTCAGGGAAGGTACCAGAGACTACAATGACTGTCCTATAGAACAATCATGACCACAAGCTGATAGCAAAATCGTGTTTCGAATGTTTCTAGATGTCTTGCTGTAGCCCTTTGACCTCTTTTAATGTCATTGGATACATCTCTGCCGTAACAAGGAGTGTCGTGATGTTTTCACTGTAATTGAACAGTCCATCAGTTTAGACACTGCATATTCCGAAAGCTAGCTACTAGTGTTTCCAGTATCATTAATGTTTATTGTCCATTCGAGTGTTCAGTTGGACATTTTAATGAATACATCATTACTTCCTTAATAATTATTATGTGATTTCTCAGAAAGTATCTAAATACCCAATCGAATGAAAATATTTTACAAAGTTTAGACAAAGATCTCAGAAGAACGTCTGTGAAATTTGTCATCATCTCTCCCACAGAGGATAGTGTCAAAAATGTTTGGTTGACGATAAATACTGTATTCTAATCATTATGTCTTCACCATAAACAACATATAACCTCTTTTGGTGACATGAACAACACCACGAACATAATAATTGGCGATACAATCCAGTGGAGTCTCCATGACGGACTGATTTTTTGCAGTGTGTACCTGGATCCAAATCTCGTAAATTTTCTTACTTAAAAACATGGTGTACATTTTAAAACAGGTGCCTTTTCTTAATTTCTTAAACGGTTAGAACGGTGTTGTTTGCAGAATTTTATCCAAAACCTGGCGTTAAGCCATATTGACACTTGAGACACTCTACTTCCCACGCAATTCTGTCAATGATTAGATTATGTTCAGCTTACTTAAAAAACATTTGTGCCAAGAGGGAGGCCAACGATGGTCCGGGACGGTACAGATATAGGCGAGTGCTAGTGTTGTCAGGCATAGTCGATCTGTTCTCGGTATATTTGTGCGAAACTTTTCGGTAGACATAAAGAAAAAACTTGCCGATGAATAAAAATTGAAGAGTTTGAAAAGTGAGGGGTATCATAAAATGCTGAAATGCGGATATTTAAAATTTTGAAAAGCTCAGGATGTCACCAAATCGAGATCTGAGGACCGGGGTGGTCTTGTGTTTCATTGAATTTTAGGTATCAGAAATATACTATTATACTACTACTACTATACTACAGATACAAACACAAAAGACAAATTTTTTGACAAACTCTCTGAGGAATTAGATAAGACGAAAAATAGACAAGAAATAGTCTTGATAGGCGACCTGAACGGAAGAGTGGGCAAAGCTCTTGACAGTAAAATAATTGGACAACACGGAGAGGAAGTAGTCAATGAAAACGGAACCAGATGGACAGAGCTTTGTGAACAACACTCGTTAAGAATCTTAAACGGATTTTTCCAACACAAAGACATACACAAATATACTTGGACTCAAAAAACAAAAAACTTGAAATCAATTATTGACTATGTCGTGATTAAGCAGGACACTTCCATAATACCCTATGATGTAAAAGTTTGGAGAGGAGCTGAGTGCGGTTCAGATCACCTGCTAGTAAAAGCACCCATTGAAATTACTTACAATAAACATCTCATATATCAAGAACAAAATAACAATGGAAAACCCACAAAGCGATATAACATAGACAGCTTAAGGGATGAATCCACCAGTTTCCTTTACAAACTACGTTTAGCACAAAAACTGGACGAAGATATTAACGGCAAGGCAGAAGAAATGTATGAAACTTTGAAACACAAAATTCACGAAGCAGCACTAGAAGCCCTTGGTGTTAAAGATAGAACGGAACACAAAAATTCTTGGTGGACGGACGATTTAACCCAACTGGTAGAAGAAAAGAAAAACTTATATCTTAAATGGTTAACTACAAAAGACGATGAAGATCGAAAAAGCTATAATCGTTTTGAATATATAGTAAAAAGAGAAATTAAAAAAATAAAAAACAAAACATGGGAAACCAAATGTGCTGAAATTAGCTCAATGGTAGGAGGATCTAGGTCTAGAGAAGCTTGGCGAACTATAAATGGTCTTAAAACAAACACGAATGAAAGAAGAAAAATAAATCCCATAAAAATAGAACAGTGGAAAGACTACTACAATAATCTACTGGCAGAACAACGTGGAGAGTATTTAGACACGCAACTAGATATAGATCAAACGGGAGTTAACAGAGTAGATACCATTCAATTAGAAGAAATAAAAACAGCATTACAAAAAATGAAAAATAATAAAGCTCCGGGACCGGGGGATTTGCCTATCGAGTTAATTAAACACGCCACCACAAGAACGCACGAGCTACTTTGTGTAATTTTTAACAAGTGCCTGGAAGGGGAAACGATTCCCAGAGATTGGAGGAGCTCTTACATAAATTCCATTTATAAAAAGGGAAACAGGAGTGACTGTAGTAATTATCGGGGTATTAGTATTACATCGTCCATCGGAAAGCTGTACGAAAGAGTCCTAACAGCCCGAATAGAAGACGAAGCCACGGAAATTGAAGAACAAAGTGGATTTCGACCTGGGCGATCCTGTGTCGACAACATATTTACAATAAAACAACTGACAGAAAAGAGATTAGCAAGAGGAATGGAGCTACACGCTACTTTTATAGATCTCCGCAAGGCATTCGACTCCGTCCCTTTGCAGAAATTATGGATCGCAATGAAAGAAGCAGGCATAAATAGCAAATACATAAACGCCGTAAAAGCAATGTATAGAGAAAATCAAGTGGTCGTTAAAGTCGAAAATCAAATTTCTGAGGCTTTCCCACAAACAAAAGGTGTTAAGCAGGGCTCCTGCCTCTCTCCAACCCTGTTTAAAATTTATCTCTGCAGCGCTTTAAAACAGTGGATAAGAAAGTGCAGCCCCATGGGGATATGGTTAGAGAACTTTCACTTGTATACAATCCTCTTTGCAGATGATCAGGTAGTCTTTGCAGAAGACCAGCAAGACATGACTTACATGATAAACAAACTTATAGAAGAATTCACTAAATGGGGTTTGGAGATAAATATACAAAAGACACAATACATGACTATAGGAGGCACAGGACAAGACATCGAAACAAAAAGCGGAAAAATAGAAAACGTCGGACAGTACCAGTACCTAGGAGTTACAATAGATGAAAGCGGAAAGGATAATAAAGACATACTAAGGAAAATAGGAAAAGGAAAAAATATGATTAAAGCACTACATCCGATCTTGTGGAGTAAGAACCTAACAAAGAAAACAAAAAAAATTATATATCAAGCTATGATTCAGCCAGTACTGACGTATGGGTCAGAAGCGTGGGTTGTAGATAAAAATATGTCACAAAAGCTTCTCTCAACCGAAATGATGTACTGGAGAAGATGTTCCGGTTTAACTTTACTTGACCATGTTAGAAATGAGACCATCAGAGAAAGAATGGAAGTCGAAAATACAATAATGGACGATATAACAGAGAGGCAGTTAAAATGGTATGGACACCTGCAACGAATGAACGAAGAAAGGATACCATTAAGGGTTTGGAAATGGACACCAGCACAAAGAAATAAACGAGGAAGACCACGAAGGAAATGGATTTCAAACATCCATACCGCAATGGAAAGTAGAGGACTACATGAAGGAGACTGGAACGATAGGATACGATGGCGTATGGGTTGCGAGAAGCGACCTTAGGTTGCAGAAACTCGCCATATATA